TCTTGATTCTAATGGTCTCTGCATTTTGCTTGATTAATGATGTAAATGGTAACATTTGTCCCACTATACAGGATATAATGAAAGGGAGAGGTGTACATTATGAGCTTTTTTTTTTCCTGCATATGTTGTGCTCTTGTCTCTTTGATCGCATAGACTGATGGGAGATGGTGTTTTTATGGGACCAACACAAAGGGCTTAAATTCAGGTTTTCTGAAGGACTGAAGCTTTACTGGGTACAGTACTGTACCGGGACTGACTGGGATACAGATGAAATACAGTATGTGGGGAATGAAGGTACTGCAAATTGTATGTGCTCTCTAAACTGTACTTTGAAAGCGCTGAGGGCATTAGTGAGGAAGAGGTGAACGGGAAGGTAATGAGATGCTGAAGCAAGTGGGAGACTCGATGATTTGGGAAGTTTTAGGGAATTCACGCTGCTGCGAGGAAGCGGGATTTGTTGTGGGCAGTATTTTTCTATACTCTGAGGCCAGACCTGATTGCTTTATTTGCTCTGAGTGGGAGAATGCAATCAGTGTTTGAAACTTTTAAAAGGGAGCTGTTGTGTTTTATGCGCCTGGTTAGTTAGGCAGCGTTAAGGTCAGTCTGGTGCTACGTTTCTCTCTTTTAATATCTCATGTTTCCTGTTTTTATGACCCATAGGGATTTACTACTTGAGGACATGCTGCGCAACAAATTTTTTTTTTTCTAGTGTTTACTTTGTGAAATTTGCAGATTTTCCTTCTAAAAGCTAAAGAGAACATATTTTTAAGTAATTGTTTGAGGATGACTTGCCACATGTCAGACTTTTACACGAATGGGAGCTGCACAGATAGTAGTGTAGTGTTTTACATGAATCCATGGTATTATTTGGTTTATATATTTTTAAGAAGACTGGAATCTTGTCGCTCTGTGTGATGTGTTTATTTTTTTGTGTGTGTGTGTGTGTGTTTGTGGTGAAGCCAAGTGTGCAGTCCTACTTGCACCTCCCTCCCCCTCCCCGCCTCTGGAGCTTAAAGAGAAAGTGATGATGGAGGTAATCTCCGAACCATCAGGCATTCTGTGCGAGTAAGAGGCAGACTCTGCTGCACACTTAACATCCAGTATGTTATTCCTATTTATTGTGTAGGATGTCGTCAGGGCCAGGCTCCTGAATACACTCATGTAGTCTTCATGTTATTCCATTTAAAAACCTAACAAATAAAGCATAATTTGAATCAGACTTCTTGTGGCTTTGTGCTTACATTGGTGCCCGTTTACTACTTTACGTTTAAGACGTCAGTTAGATGTTTTTGGTTCAGTGGACCTAAACTTATTTACTGTCATGTGTATATTGTTTCAATGGTGAATGCTCAACTTAAAAATACCTGAATGATTTTTCTTTTTTAATCTTTATTTAACCAGGAAGTCTTAATCTCTTTTGCAAGCAGTCTTGCTGTCAAGATAAGCAGCATGGACCAAAGTACACATTGCATTTTCAAAGCAACTGAATTTACTTTTTCTGAAAATGTTAATTTCTTTGAAGTTCACATCACTGCAATAAACAGCCACCTGAGCTTCATATTCATATGGCTGAGAAATCCTGTGTAAGTATGAGAGCATGCACAATCTGTACAGATGTCTCAAACCAAGGTGGAGCTTTGGCTCTACATTTAAAAAAAAAAACAAAAAAAAAAACAAAGTCACCATTCTGCTGTTCAAACCAGCCGTTAAGAAGGAAGAAAGACTTTAAAGGAGGAAGAAGAGGGCCACAATTATTTATTTTAGATGCAGGACGAACTCCGGGGCTGCCCCAAGGCTGAATACAAGATAAATTTGAATTATTTTTAACACTGCATCATGCAAATCTACTGCAATACCCCCAAGAAATTAGCATAATAGTTCCCCTTTGTGATAATCTCTAGACAAGTTGCACAAAATCTTCACTTCCTATAAAAGTCAGGCCGTCTTTATGCAACACTAACATTTGACCAGACTAGCTTTTGAAAGCATTGAAAGAAATTCTTCATTTATCTCTGAAATTACTTTATTAAATAGAGTGGAACTTATCTAATAATGGTTTTCTTGTAGGGTCTAAGTACATTTTAATATCTCAGATCTGTTGCTTTACACAATGAACATCAGATAAAACCTTAAGGTCACATATGACTACTTGTAAAACTTGAATCTAAAAACATTAGGAGGCATTTAACTGTACATAAAACCAGACAAAAAGCATCTAAAGTGTTGGGATGAGAAGAGACTGAAACGTCCAGAAATGAGTAGAGGTTTCACTTGCATGTTGCCTAGTTAAGTGCACATTATCCACAAGTAACCAAACAGAAAAATGCATCAGGTTTCACTGAGTAATTTCAAAATACAGGTATCATTTATAGAACTGACATAATTTATATGCACAAAACACAATGTTTTGGTCTTGATTTGAGACTGTCAGAAAATAAACACACAAAATTAAAACTAGCGTGCCAAACTAGTTCCCCACACGGCATGTATTTTCTCATATTAACTGCTGGATCTTATGCCAGACTTGGCTGAGCGAGACGACTTTGAAACGTGCAGAATTTCATAGTTTGGATTTCAAGGAACGAGCCACATCCCCCATTAATCAAATTAAGCATTTGCTCATGTATAGATAGGATGATGAGGTTAAACAACATATTTAAGAAAATGCCAAAGAGGAATAGTGAGCTGGAACACTAAATAAATGTTATTGCATTATTTAAAAAAAGTGTAGCCTTTACTTTACACCTGACTGTACAGCAGTGTTGACGAGACTGCTGCTCACTTGAGAAATAGCATCAGATCTGCACAGCTTGCATAACCTGAACCACAACGACGGTAAAATGTACACACTTTGTGCTGGACATTTTGAAGATAAGAGAAATCAGCCTTCTCCCTGTTCAGGGTGAGACTCGCAGTTTGGGGAGTTGTTTTTTTTTTTTATGTCTCATGTATTACAGAGGATCTGCAGAAAATAATGCCAGTCAGTCATAAACAAAGCAGGGCATTCCTCAGGCTTGTCCAAACAGCACTGAGCAGTGGGTGTGGTGTCTTCCCCAGAAATGCTGATACTGCTCGTCTGCCAAGCTGATGTGTTCAAACATTTTTCTGCTGGGGAGTGGTGAAGGCGTGTCTCCTTTACTTTTCAGACAACAATGTGCCTCCACTTCAGAAGGGTCTTTGTGGCTGTCAGTAATGATGACTGCAGCTTTTAACAGTTAAACTCTACAGCCCAAAGACTTTAGAATTAGTTCTTGTTTGATTACCTTTGTCGCAAAGTTTTTTTTCATTTTCTTCACTTCACAAGCTTTATCTGCATTAACACAGAGTTCTAAGATTACAGCTTTTGATTTCTGCCTTGATAAACTGAGTAAAGTGGTGCACCGTGTTGCTTTCTTTATCACGGCTAACTCTTATCTGTGCTGGACGACTGTGTCACAGAGGGTTCCCATAAAAAAGTGACCTCCCTCATTTGAAGTACATTATGAAAAAGGCGGACACCGTGTGACTTTGAGCTTATCTCCTCCTGTGAAATGTACAACAACAGCTGTGAGTCCACCACCACCCAGCCCCTATTTGGTTTAAAGGAATCATTTACTTTTGTAAGAAATGTGTGCCAACCTGTTTTCTTGCTGAGCTGGACAAGACGCTTGACGTGAACCAAGCTTTGTGTTTGTCGTAGCCAGAAACAAATCAGATTTAGTCCCATTACTGGAAATACTCCAGTCGATGACGATACTGCCTGCCACTTCTGGCTGTGAGATCTCTAGACAAATAACCAAATCAACACTTTGTGCACTCTATTAAAGATTAGAATGACTTTGTAGTATTGAACTGACAATCTGATATATAGTTTTATGTGAAAATGGCTCTAGTGAGTGCTAATGTTATCTTGGACACGGCAAGGCTAGCCCTTTCTCAGACTAAGTCAAACAGGCACAAGTGTTATCAACTTCCAGATAAATATTTAATATCAAATATCAAACTCCTCCTTCAGCCTTCAGTGCAACAAAAGTGTTAAAAGGCCCGAGAAAGAGAGATCCCATTTCTCTCATATTGCCTTCTCTAAACTGGTTTCTTTAAAATCCAGAACTGAATGTCAAGTCTTCTCTTCACATACAAAGTCCTGAATGATCATGTAGCATCATATTATCCCAACATAGATCTTTGCCCTTTGACTGCAGGCTTACTTGTGGCTTGTAGATATTTGTAAAAGTACAATCGGAGGCAGAGCCTTCGGTTTTCAGGCCCCTCTTCACTGGAACAAGCCCCCACTTTGGATTCAGGAGGCAGACACCTACTAGCCTTCAAACTTTCCTTTTTGATGAAGCATAGAGTTAAGTTTGGATCAGGTGACCATAAACCCTGAGTATTTGTGTTCCACTCACCTCTTTTAACTCGTCATGCATTTATATCCCACTGTTGCGTGTCATTAACACGCATGTGTAATGCTGTCTTTAATACGCTGTCAGAAAGTCACGCGATTTAATGGTGGCTATTAAATGGGTTTGGCTTTGTTGTGAAAGAAAAATTGTGTGCAGTAAAAGATTACATCACATAATACAGCAAAAAAAAAAATTGAAATACTGCTTTCATCATGTCCGTTTTCATTTTCTAATCTGAGACAGAGGGCTTTTTATTAACATTTTACTGTTGAACTGCCTCTAATCTCTTCACAACCTGCTTTCAGTTAATTAAATACCGCTCTCATGTTCCAGTATGATCCCACACTTGATTTAACCACGCACGTTTTGTTTTCATTTAAACTACATTAAATGCTTCATTGCTTTCAACAAATCAGAACTACTTAAGTTTAAATTACAATTTGTCTTGTAGACACACCTTTAATAAAAACAGTTGTTGATTAACAGCTGAGACACAACTGGGTCATGTCCTGTATGTGTGTCTTTTATATGAGGTGGGTCGGGGGCAGAGGGGCGGTGCTTGTGTTGCTACAGCTTATCTCCGCCTTTCACTCCACAATAAGTTCCCTTAGAAGGAAAGCCTGCCTGCAGACTGTAAGTGGAAAGCATTTTTTACACTCAGCGTGGTAGTAACTCATTAAAAGTGAAAACATTTTCTACTCACCGCGAGATTAAAATGCAGCACACTTAGGATGTCGGGGTTTTTTACCTTCTCGACATAGTACTTCGGGTAAGTGTGCTTGGATGATGTTTGATGTCCGCACACCTTTAAGGATTCATACACAACTTTTCAGGTATAGTGCCAAGCTTCTCCTTGAAGTGTCCATCCTGGGTTGTGGGTTTTCGACAGACTTTGATTGCGTTTGGATCCTGGAGCTTTATCTAGGCTATCAAAAGATATTCACAAACTAATCCCCGTGTTTGTTCTGCAGGATAATCTCCACAAGTCTTCCTTTCTCTTAGCAGAGAGACGGGGCAGAAGGAGAAGGTTCGAAGAGGGGGCGTCCACTGGGGAGAAGCGGCCGCTGAGCGAGGCGGTGGAGGCGGTGAGGTGAGGAGCGCACTCAGAGGAGGGTGACGGGGGCATGGAGATGTTGCGTCGCTCCTCTGTGTTTGCCTCTGAAGTGTTTGACCGCTCGCCCACCGACAAGGAGCTGGTGTCCCAAGCCAAAGCACTGTGCAGGGAATACATCCACTCCAGGCTGAACCGTGCCGGGATCGGCTGGTCCAAGCCTGAACACGGACTGGCTGCGTCAGGTGGGACACTGGGAGAGATATCTTCGGTCCTGCTGTGGCTGGGTAAGTTTTCGGGAAACGTTCGTGCGTTTTTTGCGCACAATAGTACACTTAATTCAAACAGAGACCCGCGATCACCCTCAAATGTGTGTTTAATATTCAAGAATGTATCGTATTCCTGCTAAATCCTAATATGGTTTCCGGGAGCGCTGAGTTCACCTTTCACGTTTTTGTGCAGCCAAATGCCACAATATTCTATATTCTATTGAATATATCTATATTTTAATCGTTTAAACGGCCAGATTGGGATTTATGATAAAGATATGTCTTTATTTTATATTTATACTTATAAATAAATAAACACGTAAACGACTTTATCGGAGAACACCTTTATTATTTAGAGAATCATGACGTGATTCCCAGGAATCCCCATAATAAAGCTAAGGTCACCGTTTAGTTTGCGTAATATTTTTCTTTCTGGATGCTGGCCCAGTATAAAAACTGGTGTGGTGGATTTTCTTCCTCTGGGAGGATTCACTTTACCATGCGTGCGGAACTTCCCACCTCCAGATAATTCACTGGAAGTTCATGTTGAAACTCGGCTGCTCAGCTTTGAAAATCCTGGAGGGGGTACACTGTTGCTGAATAGTGAAACTGAACAAAACCACTTGTGCCCTTCTAAGAATAGAGTTACAAAACACTTCGACAATAATGAGACTTTTTTTCATAAATAGTTCACCTCTTTTGATAGCAGACTAATATCTGGCAAAATAACAGAAAAACTCCAAGCAAGGAGGACCAGTCTAGCCATGTTCTGACCAAACTCACTTAATTCCAGCATCTTAAAAGCTCACTTACTGATATGTCATATCTGGTTTGTTTAATCTCAACAAAAACTATGTTGTGTAAAAACATTTATGTCACGGAGTTTTTTGGGCTGGGTCAGAGACTCCAGGATGTTATTGGTATCTTTGGAAAGTTTAGCTCTTTTCCTCTGCTTTGAGTCTTTCTACAGTGCTCAGTTAATAGTTTCACTAAAGTGTTTACTGTTAAAAGGGTTCCATTAAGATTCAGAGAGATGATAAACCCGTGTTTTATCACCGGGCAGTGTCCCTTTGTTTCTTATTCAGATCCGGTGCGTGGCTGTCATACCCTGATTTAAAATACAAAGATGGGAACAGCCAAGAGGTAAAATGAATGTATGTAACAGATAGAAACAGCTTCTGGGTTAGAAAAGTGAGACCAGCACAGAAGTGCTTTAAACCTGATTCTTTTGAACAGTCGTCTGGTTCTATAGAAATCTATGAGAAAATGTCTCCGCTGCTCTCTGCACCTATGACTTCTACAAACACTTTCCTGATGTGTTTATGAATTCAATCCCTAGTTTCAATTCTTACTAAATACAACATGATGTTCATTAGGTAAATTATGATCCACACTGGAGTCCAAAGGGGCAGTAAAGCGTGATATCCTTTAGGGCATGGCTGTGTTGTGATTGTCAAATGGTGACGGTGAAAATGCTAACACGTGACTTCCTGTTTTGATGTAGCTACACTCCCAATATATTTGTCATCATTATTATTTGAAAACAGTTCCATGGAAGCAGGCCCTGTTGTGAAGTCTTAACCGACCAATTAGCCCGCATTAGCAGAATGTAGGCTAACCAGCAGTTTATTGGTGATATCAAAATCACTGTATAAGTAATTAAAGAACATTATTATTGTTTCCTTTCAATTAGGCCGCATAATTTAAACTATTTTCGTTTTTGGTTTTTTTTGGCCAGAAGTAGATTTGCATTCAGTGAGGTCAATTCCAGCCATTTTCAGGAACGACATGATTAAGGAAATGGGTATCTTTACATTGGGTTCAACTTCACAGTGACATTGTCCATGTTTAATATACGATCTTTGCTCTTTGACCAAGCCAGGGTGTCTAACTGAGCAAAAGTGCTTCCCCAGTAAATCAAAACAATTGACGACATTTTTCCAATTAGATCAAATACAAAGTATTTTATTCAGTAATATCTCTCAAAAGTCATATCTTTTATACGGCATTATCTAAGGTGGTCAAAATTGCCTTTACTAGCCATATGACTAGCTACTGGACGAGATAGCTGTGGCTTATAATGTGTAATAGTTACTTTTAAAAGCCACACAGCTTTGTTTTGAGAGTTTTTTTTTTAAAGTGAGAGCTTTGACTGAGTTTGCTTTCTCTTGTTTTGGACAGGCGATGAGTTGGAGTACCTTCGTCCCAATGTGTACCGTAACGTCGCCCGCCAGCTGAACATCACAGTGGCATCGGAGAGCGTGGTGTCCGATGCCTTCCTGGCTGTCGCTGCAGACATTTTCTCCACAGGTAGGTCAAACTCTGGAAAATCAAGCCATGCAGATCTGCATCACAGGAACTAACGTTGGTGCTTTCTTAACTGGTCTAACCTGTACTAACTTGGACTTCAAAATGAAAAAAGGGAACGTATTTTGGTTATCACTGGGAAGGAGGAAGCCTGAGACAGACAAAAATAAAGATGTACTGAAAGTTTAGAGAACTGAGTTACTTTACTTTACAAATTACAAATGGCTAAAACGTTTTGTATAAGTGATAATGCCACCCGTTGTCATGTAAACACTTCTTATTTAGGCTCACCACAGGATTCTCCATTAGTGAGAGACATTTTTAGGGCTGCCATTATCCCCCTGAAATGAAAGGAGCTGGAGGGAAAACATTCAGTCCATATTAGGTTAACACGATGGTGGAGCGAGTGATTGTTACAGACAGTTTGGACCCCACCCAAGGAGTTCAGACATGAGTCCCAGCTGGGTAATTCTTCAGGGAATTTTTAACAAAGCAGTCTGATGAAAAGGTAAAGAACAGTTGGCTGGAGACGAGAGAAAATCCAGTCAGTCTGGTCCTCAGTAATGTTCAGAGTTACTTAGTAATTCAAACGTAGCGAACTTAAAGATTATCTGCCTTAATTCTCACAGTTCACAACTGATTATGATAACTTGCAAAGGGAATTCAATACCACGAGCAAAAAAGGGGGAAAAAAAAAAGGTCTCACGTCTCAGTCTCATGTTGAAAACTTGCGTATCAGTGAATACAGTGTAAACATGGACAAACCGCAGTGCCGACAGAAGAAGAGAACAAAGAGGAAGTCCTGAGCAACAGCAGATTATGACCACAAACTTGTGTAATCTGCACGAGCACAGTTAGAAATGTCATTTGGCTTCCCGCACGACAAAGATAAACTACAGCGGCAATATGTTCAGGCATCGTAACGCAACCCGCGCAACGGTGTAGCTGTAGTCATTTAGTCATGTAGTCGACACACACACAGACTACACTGTTACAATTTCCATTTCCTGTACTACTAAGTACATATTAATTATATAAAAGTAAACATAGATAATAATATAATAATAGATGTTTTACACCCCTTCTGATGTTGTGTGTCTTATTGTAAAAGTAACCACAAGTGAAAGCCTTATTTAACTCCAGCTGATTTTCTCATTCACAGCACCTAAAACTTACATAGTGTTGTTTTTGTAGCAGCAGGGAGATCATACTCGAGTATGGCTTGAATGTTTTTTTTTGGTTGACTTCCTATCGAGTATCGAGTACAGCTTAATTTCCACTATATTTGACCTTCATACCTTCATGTCCTTTTCAAACATTTAAAATCTTTCTGAACAGTTCAAAAAAACTACATTCCTGACCTATCAGATGTTGATAGCAGTATGAAATATGCAGAAACTTTAGAGTATCATCCTGCAAGTTTCCAGATTTCCTCTTCAAAGAGATCAGACGACAGTTAGAGGAGATGGATGAAGCCGAGGCTCGGTTTGTATGTGTTGGACATATAAACACGACAAAAATAGTCCGAAGCACTGACTGTAAATGGTGTGGCGGCAGAAAGCTCTACTGAGCATGCAAGCTTGGTTGGAGAAATGATGTGCTCACTAATCTAGCGAGGCATTCTGCCTGCCTGCCGTCCCAGGTCTGGTGTTTGGGTTTTCCCCGTTGCAGGCCTCCTGCTGAGATTGGATAATTTGTTCATCCACCTTTAAAGAAAGCTGCTGACAGACACATTTGCTGAATTAAATCCTACTGCAGTTATTCAAGTGGAGAGCAGGGTCTCTCCACTTATGAAATAATGACTTTCAGTATGTGCTCACACATCAGACAGCAGGACATTGATGCTTCCATAGGTTTAAGTAAAGATGTGGTTTCTTTTTCTCTCATAAGGTGTGACATGGGGAAAGGTGGTTTCCTTGTACGCTGTGGCGGGAGCCTTGGCGGTGGACTGTGTACGCCATGGTCATCCAGCAATGGTCCATACCATTGTCGACTGCATGGGGGAGTTTGTCCGCAAGAGCCTGACTTCCTGGTTAAAAAAGAGAGGAGGCTGGGTAAGGACGACTTATTATTACTTGTTTGTATGTTTCCGTAAGCGTGTGTTAGTCTGTATAAATGTACGACTATGTGGCAGCTATGAGACAAGTAACTGAAAATGACAGCCGGCATCTGTGGGTTCGGTTAAGTGTCAGTAAGAGCTCATAAAACCAAAGAAGAGAGGAAGCCATCAGCTAGTCTAGTCTGTTAAGTTAATGCAGTTCCCCACAATGACTATAACTTTAACCAACCACAGCCTGCTTACGTGTCGTGGTTTCTCTTTGCTGCTCTTTTCAGTCTTCTTTTTCCCCCGGGCAAAACAGATGACTGCCCCTCCCTGATCCCGATTCTACTGAAGCTCTCTTCCTGATAAAAGGGAGTTCTTCCTTCTTACTGTCACCAGTTGCTTGCTCATTTATAATCATCTGATTGTTGCATTCTTTCTCTTACGTTGTAACGACTTTTTCTTCCAATACCAACCTATGTTACATATTCAGGTATCTGTGTATGTACATTAGGAAACTCTCCCTCCACATATGCTGAGAAATATTTTATTCTTTGTAAAAATGTACTGATCTGAGACGGTGAACGTGTAGAAGGGATTTATGGTTGCTGTAAAAATAGTGTGGCGCTCACCTGCCCCTTTTCCCACGCTATGTGTGATTTACTTACATGCAGTCAGAAACTTTGCTTTAGGCTGTTCGAGCAGGGTTGAAATTGAAACTGGAGCTTTGTGTGGACATGTAACTTCAGAGTCCCGCTTTTCAGTTTTGCGCTTTGAGTTGACGTGAGGCGATTTTTCTTTTCTTTTCACACAGCCTTTGTGATACATTCCAGTTCATCACCTGCAGGTCTTTTCTATTTGTCATACACCGACAAATGTTAATGAACGGTTGCATGTTTTCAGAAGCTTTCTGAAGATTTACCGAGCTCAGGATTTTTACTGACAGCTTGATCTCACATTTTCACTGAGAGCGCACATCCTCCTGTGCTGGGCGTGGTGGTTGTCAATCGCAACGTGTGTGTCTGCGTGTGTGATTCAGCGTACAGGGATTTTTATTTCATTAGATAACAACTTTATTGAAGCAAATAGGGTTTATTTTAAAGAAAGACAGCACATGCATACTTTTAAATCTAAGTACTCCCTCTGAAGCAGCATTTTCTTATCATTCAGTCCAAGCTGCTGCTGGTCTCCCTGGCTCATCCTCACTGCTTTGTGTTTTCACTCACAGCTCTTCCTTTTTTGAACTTTTTGGCATCCAGGTCAACTATAGTGGATACATAAGGTCAGTTACTCCTAAGGCCTAGCAAAGTAATCTCAACTGATCACATTAATTGTGGGCATAAAGCAGTTTTAAATGAAAACATTTTTGTTGGTCAAATAAACTTCAGAATTCCCTTAACCCTTTCACACATAGTGGTCACTACAGTGGACAGCTATTCAAAGGCTATTTTCTTGTATTTGTGTCAGTTTTGATGGTATACGTGCACATAAACCACCACACTGGACACTGATGTGTCATCCCATACCCTGCCACCCACTGGGCGTTTAATGTTACTATAGATGTATGACGTGTTTCATTGTAATTGTTATTTAACCCTGTCATGCATGAATTATGACAACCTCAATCAGGATTTTTTTCTTAAGTTTCTTCTTTTCTTTTCATGCCTAAAGATGAATAAAAATACTTAAGAAAAAAATGCTGATTGAGGTTGTCATAATTCATGCATGAAAAGGTTGAAGCTTGCCGAAAGTCTGTCTGACTTTTGATTTGAACCTTTTTTGATTTTAACCTTGATTTTTCTGTGTGTGTGTGTGTGTGTGTGTCTTTTGTTTTTGTTTTTTTGTGTTTTATACGATCTGCTTTGAGCAAATTGCCCCTTGACGAATTTGGCTCAATTGAAGTTAAACCAAAAAGATTGTATTTAATACTTTAAATTAAATTCATTTCAAAAATAACATTTTTATTTTATTTAGCTGTGATGAAGTTCGTCACAACAGCAGCAGAGGCTGGGAGGAAACAAATCAGTGAAGCTAACTATATTTCATTGTTATTAATCCTCTCAGTGCTTGTCGGCCTAATTTAAAAACAGCATGCTCCACCTGTAATTGGTGTGTCATAACGTGTTACAGCCACCCAGATCAGAATCGCAATATCCTTTTGTTTTAAATTAACTAGAATTCTTTGTTTACAAAAAAAGGAAAAACCTGGAACAAATGGTTCAGTTAGAAAGGGGATGTTCTTCTGCAGAATTGTGTTTATAGGAATAGCCTATCTGATAAAGTCCTGGACAAACAGTGTGTGAAATGGAACGATGCCTGACAACGTGCCTCTGTCCGCGTTCTGCTCTGCTGGAAAGAGCACATTAATGCCTTTCCGGCAGAGCGAACCACAGGCCCGTGCGCTCTGAAACATGGCACCCGAGCCTGTTTTGTTCAGAGAGAAGTGGAGTGTGACGAAATGGAGAGCGATGCATTGTATAACTGACCTCCTGAGTACAAATGAGCGACCTGTTTTTCACTCTAACCCAGAGACGTCTGCTCTGACAGATGATGTCAGTGTGCGGGGAAAACCTAAATAACGTTGTGTGACTGGGAGAAGCGGCAGGAGCTGAAGGAGGAGAAGTGTTTAGTGTCAGAGCTGACACTAAACTGCACTCTCTGTGGTATTTCATTGTCTGTAAAAGTCTGAGTAGATGGCCTCGTATTGTAAGCAGTGCTCAGAATTAAGTGTGGGCTCTGGCTTTAAAATGGCATTCTTGTGGGCTAGCTGCATATCTGCAGATTGTCAGATTAGTGGAAAATGAAGGACACATGTTGAAATTGTAAGGTCTTCTTGTGTCTGTTAAACCCTGTGAGAACCAAGTCATCATTCACGAAGAGAAACTCTAACCATCTGTTTTGGAAAAAACCCCAAAAGGACTCTTTGGGGGAAAAAAAGTAAAAATAGCTTTTGATGTGTGTCAGTCAGAAGGTTTACTTTCTTCTATTCTATTTATTTTTGTCCCCTGATTACCAAGACTTGGGAGAACAGCTTTCAAAAATAACACTCTCACAGCCCGGGACAGTGCAACTTAGACTTCAGAGGGTTAAAACAATAGACTGTAAATAAACGATGGACATGGCCATGGTGACATCATGATATGTGGAATTCTGTTTTGAAAGAAAGCTTACCAGCCACTGACAGCTTTGATTTTTTTTTTAGCTAGAGGTGTATTGTGCCAGGTTATTGATTAAAGTTAGTTAGCTGATTAGCAATCAACTGAAAAACAAGTCAGCTTTATAGCACTAGAAATGCTGTTTATAGCCTTCTCCAAAACAGTTTGGCCCTCTATGGACAGTGTTTAATTTAAACTCTTAACTTTCCTCTGCCTTATTTCAACTGTCTCATCCTCATGATATTATCCCTCAGTGTGTGAGTGTGTTGTCTCTCCTTTGTGTTTTGTCAGTAGTCTTATGGACTTTGTATTTTTGGGACTGCTTATCAAACTCTCTTAAAGGTGTGTTTTGTGTTTAGCGCTCCCTCCCTTAGAGTTGGCTCCTGGGTTCTAAACCTGCATCATATGACAAGTATTTTATTAGTCTGCTACTTAAAATTAATAAGCAGGTATTTGTGTCTTTGCTTTGCACCCATACAGAGAGTGAGGTCAAGTGCACTGTAACTTAAGAAAAGACCAGAAACTACAGCAATGCTGTAAAAGCACACAAAACACAATGAACGTTAAACAAAGCATAATAGAAAAAGGGAGTGTTATTGTTTCCCCAGAAACATTTCCATGGTGTTTTGTTAGATTTTGTTGTTTTCTGTTGTATTTCATGTAACTTCCTTTGTGTTTTGTGTGGTTTTGCAGCATTTTCCTATTTGCTGGTACTTTTTTGAGTTGCAGTCTGTTTGACCTTTCAGGGCTACCGTACACACAGTATATGGATGCAGCTTGTTAAAAGCTAGCTTTAGCTAATAACTTAGCACTACAGTTTTTTATTCAAATACGGTCTCTTCTAGCTTCAAAATATTTACATGGTGGCTTCAAAATGCCAAAACAAATGGTTGATGTTATGGTTGCTACATTCATTCTTTATATACAGTTTATGACTCACAGAATATGCATCTGGAAGACACAAATATCTACTTGTTAGAGTTAAGTAACACAAAATACTTACATTTGACTCACCTAAGCAGTAGCACAAACTTCACAAACAGCTCAAATTGTGACATGTCACATGTTGAGTGGGCCGGATTAGTGATAAAGTGATTATAACCATACAACAGGTGAATTATGTAAAAATAAATAAATCTTTTGTACAGTTGTTATAAAGGGGGGAAATTGGCTCAAACTGTTTTCTGTAGCAGGTGGTGAAGATGTTGATTTCTCCTGAAAAGTTGGATATCTTGGTTGGTTTTTATTTTCAGCCACAAAGGTTGCCACTTGTGTGAAACTTACTTATCTTTATTCCTCTGTCTCCCTGCAGGTGGATGTAACAAAGTGCGTGGTGAGCACTGACCCAAACTTCTGTTCGCACTGGCTGGTGTCTGCTGTCTGTGCCTTTGGACACTACCTGAAGACGGTCGTGCTACACCTCCTCCGCGAGAAGTGAAAGAAAAAGAGACACAGTGGATTGTGAGCACACTGCCCGGCACTGCACACCACCAACACCACTAAAGCACCCACTGCTTTGGAATATGTTTACATTTATTTGCACTGAGCCTCGTTGATGAACACCCACCCATTTCACAGACAGCGAACTTTCCTCGCGTCTTTGGCTTCCTTGTCTATTTATTATTAATGGTTATATAATGGCACACATCGGATGCAAACGTATAAAAACTGCATTTGTGAGCAAGTTTAGCTTTTCATTTTTCATCAAACTGCACAGCTTCCAGTCTTGGTGCCTGTTTTGCAGGGATTTGGCTGCTCCTAGTGGTACCAAATGGTAACTACTAGCCCTATACACAGAGAAGTCAACTCAGGATAATCTGCGAGATCCTGTGGCCATTCATGAGAACTTGGTATTAGAGGAAATCTACACTTTTCGCCTGGGCTGTAATAGTTCATGCTAGATAAAGAGAAAATTCAACATATTTTTGACCAACTAAGGACTGTACAAAATTCCTTGATATCGAGGGATCAGAAAAAACATGGTTTGTGTATTTGTTTTTCTTTTGACTTTGCAGTCTGAAATGCTCAGAACAGCACATTCTCCGTTTCAGGCCTTTATTGTTCTTATCATGATTGGCAGCAGCTTTGACATTTTCTCTCCATTCCTACAGTCACTCTTCAACATTGTTCTGAAAGCATTTAAAGTGACAGTTCGTCCCAATGTCAGATTGACAGATTTTCCTCTGGCCCTCTTATGCTGTATGTCAGTCTACATTATTCAGGCGTGAGTTGCTGTTTTTGGAGGTGACAGGTTTATATATGTCTGCTTTCTCTTGAAAATAATAAAAATTAAATGACAACGGCCCTTTGATGCTCAAAGCATTGAAAACTCAGCAGCAATGCCTCTTACGCTAAATCATCAGCCCTGTTTCACCATTTTCTTTTTACTAAATAAAAATTTACCATAGCTAATTCCAGCGATACAGTTAACAAATGTTAACTGTAAAAAAAACAAACAAACAAACAGTAACCTTTTAGAAAGAAAGTCAGTCTCTCATCAAACTACTGACAACAAGGTTTGCAGATAGTTTTTATTTATTTTTTAAATGAGTAACTCTGTCATGATTTCTGCAAAACGATGCATGGTGTGCTGTTATCTGTAAAATGGCAAATGTGACCTTGACCTTGATGAAACAAATTTGGATGGAAACCCATTAGGTGATCATTGTGTTTAGGTGTGATTACATTCTGATCAATACTCCAGGAGGAGTAATCCTCACCGTGGCATAAGCTTATTGGTTCTACAGTTGGATGAAACAGGTGGCATTGATCCAAACTCTAGAAGGATCAATAAGACCATAGACCAGAGGGAATCAATGCAGTTTTGGTTTTGGGGTGAAATGTACCTTTGTTATAAAAAGGGTAGACCATACATTTATTCTACCTGGTGAATCCATAGTAAACATTAAGATTACAAATGTTGAAGCTGAGATTAAGCTTTATCCCAAGTTATTTATGAATACTTTTTTATTAGGATATAAAATTAGAACATTTTAGTTTTTTTAATGGGCTTCGATGCTTACACCAAGTCTCTATGTACAGCAGCTTAATTCATCTTCAGTGGTCACTGTGAGGGAGTTTGTTATATTGCTGTACTGAAACTGCAGTGAGTTGCAACATGTTTTTTTCTGAGCACTTTCATTTCGTGAGTAGAATTTATTCCATGAATAATTTCACTGTTTATATGGCATGTTAAATACATAAATGTTTGTGAATGGTCTTTGACTGTAAATATGCAGACATAAATAAAATATTCTTAAAGCAATCTGTAAAGTCTGGAGCCATTAATGATGATTTTCAGCTGTTTTCCAAAGGATGAGCACTTGTAAACCCTGAATAAATGATTCCTCATTACAAAGTATTAATTAGTGGTCTATGTGCATGAAATGAAAACACCTGTATTTACAGGTGGGTTTTTTTTCAGTGTTTATGTTTCAGTCTTTTTTGTTTCATATCCCAGGACTGATCTCTAGTTGCACATCATTTACTGAATTGTTTTCAAATGTAAACTTACTGTTGTATGTGTAGGCTGCAAAGAAACTGCATAAACACTGAAGGCTATTGTTACCGCTGAACCACATTCAGTGGGTCAAAATAGCATGCATCTTTGCAAGCAGTTATTTGTGTTAAACTGTGAAATATCTCTTTATAATAAATAAAGTCTGATTTTGGGGTCTTCATTCACAGGGAAACCTTTCAGAAAATAATTTGGCCTCATTTGACTTGATGTAAGCTGTTTACAGCCCATTTACCTACACTCTTCTACACTACTACAATTTTCATCATTTATAAGTCTATATTTTCTAACAGTTGGGTTTATTTTTTTTAAATTAGTTTCCATATAAACCTCTAAAGACCGTGTCTCTTCAGATGTTTTGACATTCAGTTGGTTATATACAGCAGGGAAATAAGGGTCTCTCCTGAACGCACCTTTGGTGTTTATTTGTGTACGTGAACGCACCATGAAACCGCTTTCCACGGGATGGATACGTCACGCACTCCCGATTGGTCTTAAAGCCGCCACGCCAGATTCGATTGGATATTGACAGAAACGTCCCGGCTGTTTCCGGATTCCGCAGCAGGTTTCTCTTCCCATTGGTCCAGCGTGTCCGAGTGCAGAGAACAACAAACAAGATCGGGTGAAGACCGTCGGGATGGATGCAGGTAAGCGAGATTTTACAGGAAAATATGATATTTTACTCCCTTAGCAGTCTCGTTAGAAGTTATAATGACTACAGCATCACTCTTTAACACCTGGCCGTGGCACTTCTGCTCTGTCGCTTTGGGATCAGCGTCGCCAGCTGGCAGCCTGCCTCGGTGACGCTAGCTGCTAAAGTGATGACTAAAGCTAACTGCTAATTATCGTTAGCTTGCTGCTACTGTTGCTAAATCTGCGGGATTCCCGCTTTGACAACTTGTGGTTTCACCACAAAACATTTATTAAGGTGTCGTTTCTTGTGATGCCATATGTTGTTCTAAATAATTTGTCCTCTATACATCTTTGGACTTTTTAGCTAACGTTTTGTTACGCCCAAGATGAGCATCCCTGCTGATGCGCTGTCACCATCACATCGGTTATCAAGCTGCTGTTAGCCTGACTCTTGTTAGTTATGTGGGCAACACGTATTTTTAAAGCTCGGTGGGAATATTAAGGCATGTTAAGATATTTTCTACTGTCTGATAACAGGTTTAATGGGAGTTTTATGCTGTTCTTAATAAGAACTCGATCATTTATTGATGTTTGTTACTGTTGTACTAAAGTTTATCTTGGCTTTGAGCGCAGTGTTTCCAGCTGCAGTGAGAAGCCTGAATCTAGCCTGTTATTGTGGTTGGACATTGACCATCCTCATCAAGTCTTTAGGGACAAAAATTAAATTTTATGTTTTTTTGTTATTCAGTTATTGAAAGTCCCTTAATAGTTCCTTGTATCTGCTCGTTTAATGTTTTTAGCTTTTAGGCAGGTTAGGCAGAGAAATTTGTGCTCACTTATTATTAAACATCATGACCAAGTTTTATCTCTTGTGTTCAGGAAGTAACAGGTCGTTACTACCTTGTAACCCACTGTAGAACAAGTAGAGATATTTAAAATCCTTCATTGTATCAGCTATTAAATCCCTTAACTTTTGCAGTGGTCATTTAGAATAACTTGGTTTTATGATTGCTAATTTTTATACACATTTCTTTGTCAATCTATTATGTATTTTTTGTCCATCTTCTTCACTTTATTGCTATTTTGCAAGTAGGTTGTGTAGGTAAGTTGCAAATGAATTGCTTTTTTTGGATCAGTAAAATTGTCTGACTCTGAGTTTAAAGTACGAGCATGGAAGAATCATTTTCAGACTGATGGATGAGTGTTTTTCACTGACTCAAGTGGCATGGCCTTTCAAAATAAAGTCCTCTCAATATAAAAGTGATCTCTTCATACCTGTCTTTCAAATATTGATTGACTTGCTGTCTCCAACTTTGTTTCACATTTAAAATGAAGCACCAGAGGCTTACAGGATCCAGATGGTACCTGCTCTTTGCTCCTAGCTCCCAGCAAGGCTGCTACTTCCAGAGTTTAATTCAGCTTCATACATTTTCTTGGTGGTTACTAGCTGCTCATGACTCAAAAGGCAGTTTTCTGGTTGTTTTAGAGGGTGTGCTAGATTATGCTTAGATAGGCTGGTTCAGATTGGGGTTAACTAAACAGGAAAAAACTTAATTGAGAACAATTTTTTTAGGGAATTTCGCTGTGCGTGTTATGTAAGCAGTGAGCAATCGTAAGAAGCAAATAGACAGTCGTTAACCACATTAACCTGACTCTAAACAAATACAGGTTATCCTGGTCTTGTGGCAGTGTTTTTCTTTCTTTCGACTGTTTCTTTTAGGAGTCCTCATGTTAGATAATCTACCTCCATCTCACACTATGTCTTCCATCCACTTCTGTCACACCAATCATCTCCATGTCCTCTCTCACTAAATCCATAAATCACATCTTTTGTCTTCTTCCTTTTTTCAGCCTTCCACATCTTTTGCCCACATATCTGTTGTCTCTCAACTGCACATGTCAAAAACCTTCACAGCCTTACTTTTACAGTTTGTCTCCCAACTGTGACATGTATGCTGCCCTTTTGATGTATGTGTTCCTAATCTCATCCATCCTGGTCACGCCCAATGAAAATCTAGCGTCTTCACATCTTCAGCTCTGCCACCTCCAGATCACCGGCCTGTTTTTTCATCAGTGCCACAGTCTCAAAACCATGCATCTCAGCAGGTCTCACTACCATCTTCTTAACCTTCCCTTTTGTTCTTTCTGCTACCCATTTGACATAAACCACTTCAGACCCTTCTCCACCCACTCCGTCCTGCATGCACTCCCTTCACTTCTCTTGTGCACTGTCCATTGCTTTGGATTGCTGATCCTGTGCATGGCAGGCAGTCTGCAGAAGATTATATGTTGACTTAGAGAAGTTACTACAAACAAGAGGTTTTTTCCTGTAAAAAGGGAGATTTTCCTTTCCGCTGTCACCAAGTGCTAAATCATAGTGGGTCGCCCGATTGCTGAGATTTTCTGTGTTATTGTGTGGTCTTTACCTTACAGTTTCACGTGCCTTGAGGCAAGTGTTGTTGGGATTTAGGTGCTATATAAATTGAATTGAATGGTTTGGATATTAAGTGCTTAAAGGCAGGACACTGCAACAAATGTGAACACTTGATTTAATCAGTTTCTTAAAAGCCCCCAAATTTTTGTTCCTGGATGTGGTTTAGAGTTCACTCCAGCAACTAATGGATACTCCATCTGAACTCCCTGAGAGATAGGTTCATGTTTATCAGCTGCAATAATTGGCCTGTGATAATGCTGGTGATCACCTGACATTTATTGACAAGTCTGAATATGGTCCTCACTCACATGCACTGCACAGCAAGAGATAAACCACCTCAGCTGTCAGCGTGTAAGCTGCCCGAGTTGAGTTGTGAAAACAGCTTTATCTTCCCTCAGACTCCTCCTCCTTTTTTTTTCCTTTTTTTTTGCAGCTACCTTGACATACGACACACTTCGATTTGTTGAGTTTGAAGATTTTCCCGAGACCTCGGAGCCTGTGTGGATCTTGGGCAAAGAATACAATGCACTCACAGGTGGGACTTGAATCTTCTCGCATGAAAATTTCAATACCTACGAAACGCATCACAAAGTCAGCCACTCTGTTTTGTCATTATGATGTGGATATGTTGTAATATGCCGATGTCTGTATTGTAGAGAAAGATGAGATTTTATCAGATGTCACTTCACGCCTGTGGTTCACATACAGAAAAAACTTCCCACCGATTGGTCAGTTCTGGTCTTCATAACTTCTGTCACACGTTTCTAATGTGACCTCTGGCTATCAAAAGGAGTTATGGGTGACCCATGAATCTGTTACAGGGGGGACCGGACCAACATCAGACACGGGGTGGGGATGTATGTTACGGTGTGGCCAGATGATTCTGGGCGAGGCCTTGGTGTGCAGACATTTAGGAAGAGGTAAGGCGGACTTTATCTCTGCGTGGCACCAACAGCCCGTCTCCAGTGAATTGAAACGAGGCTTGTTTTTGACAGATTTCATAACTGACCTTTTTGTTTTCAGATTGGAGATGGGCCAAAGGCCAGAAACAAAGAGAGGAGTACATCAGTCTTCTCAACGCCTTCATCGACAAAAAAGACAGCTATTATTCCATCCATCAAATTGGTAAGTAGTGAGCTTCAAACCATTCCAGTTACACCAAGGCTTGAGTGAAAGACTTCACAGGAAATTCTTCTTCTGTTCTTATTAAATGCTGCAGCTCAAATGGGAGTTGGAGAGGGAAAGCCTATTGGCCAGTGGTATGGACCAAACACAGTTGCCCAGGTTCTAAAGTAAGTACAGGAAAGTACCACAAGGGTCCATTGTGGACTTCACGCAAACACACAAAGCCAAAATGAGCAAGAAATCCCCGCATTTTGAAAGCTAGAACAAAGGAATTACTGGCTCTGTGCTCTGTAAATTAAAGATTAAAGCTGTGCTGTGCAGCATTTTTGTGAGCAAACAACAGTTTTTGTGTTCAGCATTTCTCTTAAGCACACATTATTTGTGTCTTTAAGGCCTTAAACATTTTTAGTGCATTTCTGCTGCTCTCAAGTTTATGGGGTAATTCTTGACTTGCTACTTGTTGGTCTTTAATCCATTAGCATTTTCTGGACTATAGTTTTTCTGCTCATCGGTCAGCCATTTATTTTCATTTTTCAGACATTTATCACTACTGCAGGAAAATCGAAAAGAATCCTGGTAAGAACAGGAAAAAAAAAAAAAGCTGAGTAAAAACCCCCAATGAAATATCCCACTCTGATATCACTTAGTGTGCAGCATACCAGTGTGGTATTTTTATTATTTGCAATTCAAATTCCTTTAAGTTGACTTTTATATGTAACACCAGCTAAAATAGTTCCTTACAACTC